CGCTGGGCTGGGCTCTGCAGCGCTGGGCAGAGAATTTAAGTATCTGCCCCCCTTACATACATGGTGCCCTGGCTGTGCTGCAGTCCCACCCTTGCCCACCAGATGGTGTTGCAGCGGCGCCACAGCAGCCCCTGGTGGGCAAAGGTGGAACTGTAGCACCTGCCAGGCCAGAGGGGTTTTGTGGGGCTCTCCAGCGGCGCAGAATTGCCCCTGGGGTAGCTCTGTGCCTCCCCCCGCTCGCTCCCCAGGTCTCCGAGCTGCAGGGGGAAGTGCAGGCGCGGGACCAGAAGGTGGCGCTGCTGCTCCACCCACTCCAGGACAAGACAGCCGAGGCCGAGATGGAGCGAGTGAAGAACACGGTGAGGTCCTGCCGGGGGGCGGGCAGGGAACGGGGCGGGGCCTGCCCCCTCTAGGGGGCACCGGCTCCCCTCTGGCTCTAGGGCAGGCCCTGCCTGGCTCCGGGGAGCAGGGCGCAGGGCACGGGGCAGGCACTAGCTACGACCGGCGTTCTGCTCCCCTGCAGACGCTCCAGGCCGAGCTGTCTCACCAGAAGGACTCCGGGCAGCGTCTCCAGCACCAGGCGGAAGCAGCCGAAGACCGTCAGCAGGTGCCGCTTGGGGGTGCTCTATGCGCAAAGGGGGGGACCCCGGAGAGCCCTCTAAGGGGGCGCTGGCTCCATCCAGCATCCCTGGCTCCTGATCTTGCCACCCTTAGCCTGACCTTAGAGCCAGCAGCTACCCCGCTACCCAGAATCCTTTGCTGGCGTGAGTGAGGTCACGACCCCGGCCGGCCCCTCATCCTCTAGTTCTAGGGGTCGCAGGCCCGGCGGGTGGGACACAAGGTCTGTGATTGGTCGGGGTGTGGGGGTCACGCCCTTTGACCCTCGTCCTCTCAGCAGGCTCCACCAGCAGATCGGGGGGCAGGAGGCAGAGCTGAAGGCAGCGGCCTCGCGCCTAGCTGGGCTGGGAAACCGAGTCACCTTCGCCGCCAAGAGAGTCGACACCATCCAAGGTGAGGGTTTTGACCCGGAGCAGTGAGGCCCATCTACTCCGGTATCCCGCCTGCCCGGAACCGATCCACAGGCCCACGCAGCTGGGGTCCCTCTGCCCTGGGCCAGATGGTCTGCGGGTCTCACAGGAGGCAAGATCCCCGTCACTTCCTGTCCCAAACTTTTCAGTGCTCTGGGCTGTTCCCCACCCCAGAGCTGGCTGCATCTCTGGGCCATAACTCTACATCTGTGGGCTTGCAGGGCTGGTGTCTCGTAAAATGGCCCTGGCGCGACTGCGGAGAGAAGAGCAGCCCAAGGCCGCTGGATTGGAGGACGACGGGTGAGTCCTCTCCCCCCGGGCACAGGCAGGACTTCTACAACAGTCTTCCTGGTAGGCTGCTGGAGTTACCCTGGTGATTTGTACTCCTGGAAGCCTAGGGAGCAGAGACCAAAAATTTTCCATTTTGGCTCCTCCAAACTAGAATTTTTTGAGCGTGTTCCTCCCATGGGAAATTTTGCATATCCAGCATTCTGGGGCTGGGAGCCGGGACGCCTGGGTTGTCTCCCTGGCTGTAGGAGGGGAGTGGGGCCTAGTGGTTAAAGCAGGAGGGGCTGGGAGCCGGGACGCCTGGGTTCTCTCCCTGGCTGTAGGAGGGGAGTGGGGCCTAGTGGTTAAAGCAGGAGGGGCTGGGAGCCGGGACGCCTGGGTTTTGCTTGAGCCTTTAAGGGTGGGATTTTCAGTCACCTAGCACATCTGGATTTCCAATTCATTTTAACACTGAAATAAAAAAGGAGACAATACATGAATTTAAAATGTAGCAGCTTAGGTACCTGAATGAGAGATGCAGCAGCTGGGATTTGACGGTTAAAGTGTTTCTGTCTTTGTTTCTGTTGTACCTTCAGGGCAAAGCCTGACCCAAGAATTCCCTATGGGAAGAAAGAAAATAAAGATCTAGCTTTTTAGGAAAAAAAATATTTCAACAATCTGGCCAAATTACATCACATTAATAAAACTGTTTTCAGCATCATAAAACAACTTAACTAATTATTCAAGGGAAATAACTTAATGTGTAGTAGTTTTCAGTCTCAATTGGTATTACTTCTTGGAACTTACAATGTTAGTTCTTCTGTGGCCTGATCCAAAGCCCATACAAGTCAATGGGAATCTTTCAGCTTTAGAGTAATAAAAGTAAGTAGATGGTATTTAAGAGTCTGAAAACCACAAAAATGTTTGTGCAGATGAAGAGTCAAATTTGAAAGAGAATCTTTACCCTGATTTGCCTATCCCTGCAGTGTGATGAGAAGTCAAGTATAGGTGCTTGTGTATTATTAAGTCATAAGCAAGTCTCTT